TGACACAGTTGTTCGCTCCCTCCTCCTTGATATTTTTTCTGCATTTGGCTTCCAGGTCACCACCACCTTCTTCTACATTTCCTTTCACCTCACTGGTCACTCTTTCTGTGGCTCCAGGCTTTTTCTTCTTTTCTCAACCACTGTTAGACTGCCACAGTGCTTGGTTCTTGGCCATATTCTCTTTTGAGCCATAACTTTCTCCCAAGGCAATTTCTATCCCAAGCCATATTTCATGACTATAAATAACATCTATAAGCTGATGACTTCCAAATTTTTCTTTCTAGTTTTACTTCTGTCCTGAGCTCTAGACGCATGTGTTTAGCTATTTGCTCAACATCTCCACTAGGAAGTCTGATCAGCATTTAAATGTAGTATGTCCAAACAGAATTACTGATACACACCCACCCAGTCCTCTTCTGTTTGCCCCTCACTTACCTTCCTTATCACAGGAAATGTTACTGCCATTCAGTGAGGCTGAAACTCTAGGGATCATCATCGACCCCTCTTTTCAGCTCTGACCGCACATCCAAGCATCCAGCAAACTCTGTTGACTCTACCTTGAAAAGATAGCTCAAGTTCGACCACATATTATGTGCCCTCTGTAACACAAACCACAATTCTCTTTTACTGGACGACTGTGAAGACTCTGATTTGGTCTTTCAGCTTCTACCCTTGCTTCTCTATAGTGTTTCTCCAAACAGCAGTGTTTTTTTAAAAAATATCTAATCAGAACTTTCACTTCCCTTCAAAACCTGGTGGCTTCTTATCAGAATCATAAAAACCAAATTCTTACCATGGCTCAAAGCCCTGTGTCATCTCACCCCTGACTGATTCCCTGGTCTTATCTTCTGCTTCCCACCTGCCTCCCCCCGCCCCGCCCCTGGCCCTGACCTCTCAGCTGGAGTGGCTGTGATCTTGCTCCTGTTCTCCTTGCCTGCAGCAGGCCTCTGCTAGGCCATCGCAGGCTGTACACCTTCACTTTCCGCACTCCCCTGTTCACATACTGTCTCAGGGGTTACTGCCTTAGTCCTGGTAACATCTTGTCACTGATCCTCTGGGTTGGTGGCTGTTAGATACTGAGCGCTGTTCTCTAATATTCCACGAAGCTTATGGCACCGTTAAATCCTTATTGGTTGCTAGGACTCTCTAATATTGAAAGTGCACAAGCAGCTTTCTCTTGAGTCTCACTTTGATAAAATGTACAAGTTTGCCCTTACCGTCTGTGTTTTTATAAAATGTTGTTCCTGGTTTGGAGAAGGTTTGCCCTTTAAGGCTAGTTCTCATTCTTAAATATAGAAAATGAAAGGAAAGTACTCTGTTTACTGGAAGGAATATGCAGTATTTTTTTTCAATTCCTTTGCTTCAGTGGGAAGCAGTAGTCTCTGATTCAGAGCGTTGTTGAGTGGTACCAGAAACAGGTAGTTTTAATGGGAAGAAGAAAAATGAAGGCACTTGTTCAGAGAATATTATACACGTCTTTAAGTTGTGTAGTGACTGAGCCAGTGTCAGAATAACAAGATTCATAGCAAGATTCAGTTCTCTTTTTAAGATATGTGGGAATGGAAATGAAAAACAATATTTTCATCTTCACGGAAAGCTGTTGGGGAATAAAAGACCGTTTAGTTTACATAATGTTTATTTGTCATTTTAATCCCAAGGAACTAGTTCTGTGATGTTACCAGTAGAATAGGTACTGTTAGGCTGGCCAAAAAGTTTACAGAAAAACCTGAATGAACTTTTTGGCCAACCCAATACCTTCCTCTCTTTTAAAAGAACAGAAAAAAATTTTTTTTTCTCATTTCAGATTTGGGATTTCAGATGCTTGAATAAACATATACAATAGAAGATTAAATAAAATTTTAAAATAAAGGGATTTGGAATATGGAACAAAGAGTAGGAGAGTTAAAGGAAAGCCATGAGTAAAATCATGATCACATCTCCTGCCCCAAGCTTCTGTATGTTGATTAGACAGCACTCATCGACCTGGACCTTCCTAGCAGCTGAGAAAAGAGACAGGCTCCACAGGTGAAAAAGACGGTGCCCAGGGGAAGACCAGTTTGTGTATTTTTGTTTTTCTACCTGATAGAAGCAATTTTTAAAAAATTAATTAAACATTTACTTGCTCAAGGACCTGTTTTAGGTACTGTGGAGATGAATATTCTGCCTTCCAGTATGTGTAATTAAGTAAGATATTGGAGGACCCCTGTTGGGTTTAGAGTTAGCAAATCCAGACTATTGGAAAATTTTCATGTAGATTAAAAAAAAAAAAAAACAGGAGATCAAACAGTTAAACCTGGAGGTGAGCTCAACCCATCCAAAATGTGCAGATATGACACATAAGGTATATACTATTTGAGGCATTAAGTGAATGTGACCTCTATTTAAAAACACAAAATCTAGAGAATAATGTATTTACTAAAAAATCTTCTTTTTTCCAGATTACATTATCATCGTAGAAAAAGGGTGTATAGATATAGATACATGTACATTCACACATCTACCATACACAGCTAACCAATGTTAACTTTTTGGTATACTTCATTTCAATCTATTTTCTCTATAGTTTGTTTTTACAAAGTTTTGCAGTATATTTTATTTTATAGTCTATTTTTTCCACTTATTGTTATGGAAGCATTTTCTCATGTCGTTAAAATAATTCGTAACATTCATAAACATTTTGATGATTTAACAGGGTTCAACCATATGAATAATATGACATAGTTTATGTTGCCATTCCTTACTTTTTGAACATTTTGATTGTGTACCTCCAATAGAATGTTGGCTAGCCTATGATACTATGTACAAGTTCTCTAATAAGAAAATATAGTCATGTAACTCATACTTCAGAATTGCAATAAAATGTTTCCATAGATCCTGTGACAGGAGAAAGCTGAGCAAGTTTGAGAAACAAAAAAAGACACACATGTAGGGAACTGGGGGAGCAGAGGGAAGAAAAGCATGAGATAAGCTTGGAGCTGAAGGAGCCGGATCATGCAGGGCATCCTTGCCATATTAAGAAATTTTGATTCTAAGAGCAGTAGGAACCCATTGCAGGGGTGTAAATGGTAGTAATTTGATCAGTTGTATGTAGTTAAAAAGATCGTTGTGGCTGCTGAGTGGAGAATGGATTAGACTGACCAAGAGTGGCTGTAGGAGACCGATTAGGAAGGAGCAGTGTAGTAGACTAGGGGAGAGATGTTGATCTAGAGTGAAAATGCAGTGGGGGAGGGAAGTGGAACATTTTGAGATGTGTCTTACAGGTTGGCTTGCTGACAGCTTGGAAGTGAAAGTGTATGAGTGGAAGGGGAAAGTGTCAGTGATGCCTGAGGTTTCTGGCTGTTGTAACTGGGCAGATGATGGCGCCATTTTCCGTGGTGGAGAAGTCTGGGAAAATGAGGTGGAAGCTACCTCCCAGGCCAGCAAGGAAGACAAGTTAAAAGTGCTGTACGACACATATCATAAGAAATATGAGCAAGATATTATGGGCAGCCGGAGGAGGAGTACTTAACCTGGAGGTCAAAGGAAAAGCATTCTGCCAAATATGACCCTTGAGCTGTATCTTGAAATGAATGTACCATATTTATATTCACACAGTTTTAAAAAATGTAACATAATTGCTCATTAAAAAATCCATACATTTGGATAGGCTGGTCCCTATTTTGATTGAGTCAATAATTTATATGCTAGGGATGATAAAGAGCTATCTGTTCAGCTATCTCTCAACTTGAAAAACTATGTTAGGTCTCATATTTGGAATTGTCTAATTTCATTCATTCATTCAGAAGGTATTGTTGAATGCTGACTATGTGCAAGACTCTGGAGATACAGTGACAAGCAAGACAGATTTGGTGTTATTCTGATAGAGTTTACAGTCTAATGGGAAAGATGAGAAACTAAGCAGATACTCAAACATGTAATTAATTGTAGTGTGACTAGAGCCATGAAGGGAAGATATAGGGTTTTAGACTCCTACAGATCCCTAACATTTCTAATGCAAGCTTTGGTACCTAAAATGAAAAACACAGGCACTAGCTTAGTTAGACTGTAAGTATCAATGGGTAATATTTGATAATTAATCCTTTCCTTTATACTGGGCCTTTGCTATCCTTATGGATTCTGTGCAAGTCCCAAAAGAAGAAGATAAATAAATGACAGTGGACTCTCAATAATGTTATTTCAATAAAGAACAGGTGGATTCAAATTCTACCCATCCTATTCCTGAAGATATTGATCACCCTAGTTGGGATTTTATTTCAATAAAATATTTCCAGTGTGAAGGAGTCTGAAAGAAAAGTCTACATGTTCCTTGTCTGGCTGGCTCAGGCCTATTCTGTTGGGTCCTGACAATTAATACCACGGGCGATACAGGCCACACGGCTCCTGTTGGAATTCTTCAACTCTGCCTCTGTAGCATGACATTTGCCATAGGCAATACAGAAATGAATAGGCATGGCTGTCTTCCAGTAAAACTTTACTTATAAAAACAGGTGGCACACCATGTTTTGCTGCTGACCTGCTGTAGTTCCCTGGCCTGGATTTGGATGTTGTATCAATCATAGTTTTGTTGCAGAGAACAGAGTCTACTATAGCTAGTTTAAGCAGAAAAGTGTGCATTAGAGGATATTACAAAATGTACAATATCACTGGGTAAGTTGAAGAGCTAGAGTCCACGTTGAGTTTCTAGGAATACCTCAGACCACCACCTACCGTACTGGTGTAGTGGCACTGGAGCTTTTTTAAAATTTATTTATTTATTTATTTTTGGCTGCGTTGGGTCTTCGTTGCTGCGTGCGAGCTTTCTCTAGTTGCGGCAAGTGGGGGCTACTCTTCGTCACGGTGCGCAGACTTCTCATTGCGGTGGCTTCTCCTGTTGTGGAGCACGGGCTCTAGGCACACGGGCTTCAGTAGTTGCGGCATGGGGACTCAGTAGTTGTGGTGCGTGGGCTCTAGAGTGCAGGCTCAGTGGTTGTGGCGCACAGGCTCAGTTGCTCCGCGGCATGTGGGATCTTCCTGGGACCAGGGCTTGAACCCGTGCCCCCTGCATTGGCAGGCGGATTCTTAACCACTGTGCCACCAGGGAAGTCCGGAGCTGGAGCTTTTGCCACAACCATGAAACCTCCCGCCAGGTCAGCAAGCTGCCAGCTCTGAATCACACCAACTCTGCTAGAGCCTTAACCAGCAAAGTCACTGCCTCATACTCTGCCTCCCTTCATATTTAAGTCACACTAGTAAGTACATCTGATTGGCAGAACTTAAATTACACCCAGAACCCTAGCTTCAAGGAAGTCTAGGAAATAGAGCTTTTAGTACTTGTGGCACAGGAAGTACAGGGAGGTTCACTAAAAGGAAGTTGGAATCAGTTTTGCGTGAGCAAATCTGCAGGATCTGTTACAGAACGCCCCTTTGGCTACTTAATATCCATACCTTCCCTTCTTTCCATACCTAAACCTCCAGCAAGAAATGTGCTCTCTTACAATATAACGCAGCCATCCCTGATTTTTAAAAAAGCCAAGTGCACTCACCTTCTCCCAAGAAGCTAAAACCCAAGGTTCTGTAGGTCAGCACGTCATCTGCAGTATTCATCACAGACATTACCCCGGGGCCTAGCACCCTCAGGGGTTAGGTGGCCTCTCTCCTCTCCCAGGGAAAGGGGGAGTAGGAGAGAGAGCTGCCCAGTGACCAAGAGGAGAACAGCTCAGCTCTAAGAAGCTCCCATCCATACTTTTCATCCTTCCTCTCTACTAGCCAGTACCCTCTGTTTCCAAGCATTCTGAGTTTCTCCTCTCTTCATGGAATCCTCTCCCCACCCTATGTTCGTTTGTAGCTGTTGGCTTCTTTCCTTCTTAGCTAAGCTTTCCCCTCCCCCGCCCCCTCATCCTCTAGACTCTGGAGCATACTGGTGACTCCCACCATCCCCTGTAACTGCTCCGGTGAACCTCAAGGGGCTCAATGCCTTGGACGCCGACCACTGCTCGAGGTACTCTCCTGCCTTGGCTTCCGGATTCTGTGCCTGATTTTCCTGCTGCTCGGGTGCCACTCCTCCCTCTCCTTTATGGGTCCCCCTCCTCCAGGTGCCCCTCAGGCATTGATTCTGTCTTCAGCTCTCTTCCTTCTCTTTTCTTTCTACTTGTTTTCAGTTACTCACAGATTTGAGCTAGTGTCAAGGTTTTCTCTCCCATCAAGATGCTCTCCTCAGCCTCGGACCTACATGTGTAAGTACCTATTGGACAGCTCCTCTTCCAGGTCACAGGCACCCTAAGCTCCCTGTGTCCCAAACTGGATTAACTGGTCAGCTACATCCAACCCCCACACCCTGCTTGTCTCAGCAAACGACTCAGCGAATGTAACAAGGCATAGACTTGGGAAGCGTACTTGATCCTTCTTTCTCTGTCACCCTCCCAACCCCTGGCACCTCCTACATATCTTCATCTCCACCATAACTTCCTTAGTTCAGGGCTCTGCTTTCTCATCTAGGTTACTGTGGCAGCCTCTCAACTGATTGTTCTCCCATCCAGGGCCTTACAGTCCTTAAGCCTAGTCTCCTTACTCTTGTCTAAAACAAGTCAGATCGTGTCGCTCCCCTGCTTAATACCCACCAGGGACTCTCTGTCTGCCAACACGATCAGGTTCAAAGTCCTGAACCAAGTAAACCAGGTTCCTTACTCACTCTAATCCTTTTTATCTCTCCATCCTTATCTCTCACCACTATCCTCTCCCCTCACACCCCTGCATATTTGGACTTGAGCCATCTAAACACCTGGTGCAAAATGATCCTAATACACTGTGCCCTCTGGTGCTTCAGTGGTTTTTTTTTTTTTGCAAGTGCCGCTCCCACTGCCTGGAAACCGTCCGCCTCTCGGCCTTACTGATGCAGTGCTCCCCACTGCATGTCCACCCTGAGTGCTCTGGTAGCACCCGTTATTTGAATGAAGCAGCAGTGCAACGAGTCCTAATCGTCTGCTTATCCTGGGTCCACATCCCTAAAGCCCAGCAGGTCTTGGTGCAGAGTAAGTTTTCGTCAACCCTTATTAATAATGACAAAACCTATTTATGGATTGAATTAAGGGAAGAAACTATTAATTTTGTACGTATTTCCCACAAGATGGTGCTATTCAGATAGGAAAGACAACTGAAAAGTTCTCCAGGGCTAAAGGATCCAAGTACTAGATGCCTAAATGTTCGTTAAATGTGTGAAATTTCAGAGGCAGTGATTTAAACGCATAAGCTTTTTCTGTGGTAAATGCATGGACAGGTTGAAAATGGTTTATGCATATGTATTTTATTATCAGATTAGTACTGATCATTGTTTTACTTACTGCTTTTTGGGAGCCTCTCTTCCCAAGTGGTCAAAATTTTTTTTAAATGGAAACAGTAACTCTTAATTCTAGGGCAACAAACTTTTAAGGAGGGCTGTATTTGGGTTTTTCAGAGATACAGGACCAGTAGGTTTTATAGAGAGAGAGGGAGGGAGGGTGGGAGATTCATTTTAAGGAATCGGCTCATGTGACTGGCGGGGCTGGCAGGTCCCAAATCTGCAGGGCTGGAAACAGACAGGAGGTGACTGCAGTCTTGAGCCTGAAGGCTGGAAACTCAGGTGGAGTTTCTATGTTGCCATCCCAAGGCAGAATTCCTTCTTCTTTGAGGAACCTCAGTATTGCTCTGGGCTTCACTTATTGAGTAAGTTCCACCCACACTATGGAGGGTAATCTTTACTCAGTCTACTGCTTTATTTATTTAAAAAAATAGAAATATAGTTGATTAATACAATATTATATTAGTTTCAGGTATACAGCAGAGTGATTCATTATTTTTACAGTTAAAGTCTACTGCTTTAAGTGTCAGTCTTACCTAAAAAATACCTTCAGAGCGACATCTGGACTGGTGGTTGGCCAAACAACTAGACACCATAGCCTAGCCCAGCTGACACATACAGTTGACTCTCACAAAGGTCTTGGTGAGGAAAGTAAACTTTGTATGAAAGAGAAATTCACACTGAAGTTTCAGTTTTTAGTTTGGGACAGGGGAGAGAGGGCTGATGGCTGTAACCACCCTGAGGAACCTCCTGGGAAATTTCTGCATGGAGAGGGTCTGTCCTGGGATAGGACCCAACGGGTGCCGCCCTCACTCTCCTCCAGCCACAGAAGTCTTCTGCTGGGAGCAAGAGTACACACAGACACTAATCAGCATTGGGTGGGGCTGAGGAAGAATAATAACCTTGTGGATATGGTAATCTCACCCCAGTAGCCTCCATCCTGTACCATTTATACTGCAAAATGAGATTGAGCTTTGGGGCAGTCCTAAGGAAGGGGTTTTGCTTCCTCTTTTACTGAGAACAATGAAACAGTCAAAGGGAACTTCTGCAGGTGTCCTCTGCCACATCCACTCACCCCGCTGTAGGCACACAGCTTAGTTCTGCCTTCTCTTATTGCTACTAAAGTGAAACCGTGAAGTTTTCTTTAGCTTCTTTGTTATGTATTTAATAACAATATTAACTGCTGACATTTATGGAGCACTCTTCTAAGCCATTTGATCTTTGTAAAAACCTTAAAGGTAGGTATTATAATTATCACCATTTTACACATGATGAAATCAAACACACAGATACACTTACAGTAATTTGTACAAAGTCTCGCAGTTCTTTTTATAGTAGGGCTGGGATTTACATTCAGGCAGTCTGATTCCAGAGCACGTAGTCTTAATGAGAATGGAATTTTTTATTTGTCTCTTGCATGCTCTGATTCTTCTTTATCTTCTTTCTTATTTCCTGTAACATACGTGCGCACTTGCCCAGTGTGCATATATGCCATGCTGTTCTTTTCATCTTACTCCTATTGAATGTGGGGGGATTCCTTTGGCACCTTTGTTTGCCTAGATATAGAGTGAATACATTCTGGACTCTTTCCTTCTTATCCTGAACCTGTTGATCTTCCCTTCAGAACTTCAGTTTAAGGGCTCCATTCTGATGGGTTGTATCTTTCCACATTTCTGTTGCCCTGAAGGGATGTGATTAGCTCAGTTGGGCTGTGGTCAATAGTAATTGGTAGTTTGGGTCTTAGATCTTTTCTGGGGCAAGGGATGGAGGTGGAGGTGTCATTCTGTCAAGTGAAAAGCAAAACCAAACCAGAAAATGTTCAATCTTACAGAGAGCGATTTGGCCAAATCTATCACTATGACAAATGCATTTGTCCTTTGATACAGAAATCCTGTTTAGGGCAATTATTCTGCAGATGACCTTGCACATAAATGGCCTTTGTACAAAGTTATTCATCGCCGCATTGTTCATGATAGTAGTAGACTGGAAACAAATCACATACTGAAGAACGGGACAGTTATGGTACTTTCACATGCTGTGAGATTATGTAAATAAGAGGAGGTTCTCCGTGTGCTGATATGGAAGGCTCTGAAGTTATATTACTAAGGGAAAAAGCCATCTACTATCTGTCTATCTACTTACCTACCTACTGCTGTTTGGCAGTGTATGTGTATATATACATTAATACTTTTTTTAAAAAAAGGAAAAAAAATATATGTATTCATGAGGAAATATTGGAAGGATATAGGAAAAACTAATAAAAGCGGTCACCAGTAAGAGGCCATGGGGGCAACAGGATGGATGGGAAAGACAAGGATGGGAGTGGGACTTTTCAATATAAATATTTTCAAAGTGTACCCTTCTAAAAAAGTAAATAAAAAAATGTACACACACACACGTTTTTATTCCTGTGAACAGTGATCCTGTGTGCCTCTCCCTTGCAGCCACCTTCACTCTCCTCCCGCTTAGATGAGGGGAAGGAGCTGAAATCTCAGCGTTTTAACCCTGATGCTAACTGTCCCTGTTGGAGGAGGAGGACATTGAAGAGGCTTTGCAGGATTCTCTGTGCCAGCCTTCTCCCCTCCCCTATTTCTCTCTGCGTTCCCTGCCTTCCTTCTGTTCTCTTTGTTGATGGAGTTAATTAGCTCAGGGTGAGCACAGTCAGGTTCTCCCCGCTTCCTTCCAGCCTTGAGAACCCCTGTGAAGAATCTGGACCACTTCCCCATCTCTGACTCACGTGGTGGTGGGAAAGGCAGATCTCCGGCGCAGAACTTCCCGCGTCTTTTCCCCTTGGCTAACGCCTTACTCTCCTCTCCAAATTAGAAGGTTATGGTGAAGTTTTCAGACATTGTCACTAATTTTCTTCTCGCTGGTCTGCTTCGGGCGGCGGGCAGGAGTGCTTGGAAGTTGGAACAGCACATCGTAGATTTCTGGAGTATTTTGCTGTTTTTTGCTGACCAGTGTTTAAGAAAAATGAGGCGTAAAATTGTAATTTTTATTCATAATGTAATTCTTTGGTTGTTTATTTTTATTTATCTCAGAAGATTCTGTGTTCTGACTCCACACACCATTTTACCTTAGAAGTTTTCAACACTTCATAGTGAAAACCTTTTGTTTCACTTCGCAGGCGCTCATCTGCAGCAACTGGTGATTGAGATAATGAAGTTCAGTTGGTTTAACCAACCTGTCTCAACGAATAAGTGAAGATCATTTCAATTGATGCTTTAATAGATTTCTCTGGATAGTTTTTTTTTTTTTTTAATTCAGGGGAACCTTCTTTCGCAATTCTGCATGGTAAAACTTTTTTCATGATACAATAAAAAAAGTCAGCAGTTAATCCTAACCAGTGAAGAGAGTCTGAGTTCATTTAGGTTTATTAATTGGGATATCAATGGCATTGGAGGGTTGTCATGCCTTAGACTACCACTTGGTGGCGGGCGCAGTATACTGTGGATCAGAACCTGAAGTACAGACAAAATAAATGACAGGCAATAGCCAGCAGTTCCCTCACTATTCAGAGGCAGTAGCAAACCCTTTCACTCCGTATATACATTAGAAAACAATTCTGTGTTTTTCCTTGTTTTTTCTTCCCATAACAGTTTTTCACCATTTTTGCTGAATGGTTTCTTCTAAACCTGAAATATTTTGGTATATGTAGCTATGTTACTTAGGTCATAATGAATAAAATTCTGATTTCTTCTTGAGCTCTGGTCTTTGCCAATGAACAATAAATAAAAATGCTTTAGAATATAGCCTATGGGCCCATGGTTTGAAAACATGGAATTTATAATTATTCTAAATTTTCTGTCTTTTGATAAAAAAGAACCCCCCTTGAAACTGCCTGTTTGGGGGTTATATTAACAACGCTGCCGACATTATCTGAAGATTTATTTCAATTAGATTTACATGGAGTACCTTTCTTTCACAGCTGATCTAATTCTTACACTCTGAATTTAGGATCTTTAAAATAAAAGAACAAGTATAGACTACAATGATTATCTGTTAATTTCACTGGTGAAAATCACAAGGCTTTGTTTCCATATTTCACTTCCAAACCAAGATGTTAATTTCTCCCTAGGTGAATAAATGTTTTCTTAAGTATTCCCAAGATTAGCTGGAAAATATATTCCTTACTTTTCACAATCATTATAGTTTCTGCACCAGCCCCACTACAACATGGCCTGATCCTAGACAGACAACAAAGCTCTGAACCCATGAATTCTGGGCAACAAGTCATTTGACATTTCAGATCTTCTCTTTGTTCTGAGTCAGTAGAGCTGCCTGCTAGCCACCTTTAGGATATTTGTATTCTGTTTTGTATTTGTGTTTGATACAAAAACAAATTTTGTGTTTAATGTTGGAATATTTGGTTTCTTTAGGTTTTTCCTGTTTCTAGCTTACACAGTAATTTGGTTATGGAGAAGTTGGATTTAAACTCCATATGGGTAGAGTTGATATGGTACCTTTTCTCTAAAATACCAAAGTAATTTATTTTAATTTGGAAGTTTATAGTGTGGTTATAATACGATTTAAAATTTCCAAATGTCTCCTGTTATATTAAACTGGACCCTCTGTTTAACTTACCCTTGACTACCTGTGGTAGCCCTTGTGAAGCTCAAAAAAGACTAGTGATTTCATTTCCCAATGATCTGTTTGGCAATTCTTTCTTAGAGAACTTTATATTATAATCTTTTTGAGGTTTTCGGGGTGAATGAAATTTTCCATTTTTAATGTTTTGATTAAGTTTACGGTATTCTTCTGCTTTGTTATTTCTCCTTCTAGAATGAAATGAAATGCTGAGAAATAAAGCTTTCCTATTCTGATTTGGATCTTTATAATGGGTATCGGAAAGTCTAAAACGGATCCCTGCCCTCTTTCTCTCTCTTGGGGTAAAAGCCACAGTGTGGATACGAGTCAAAGACAGCACAAGTCAGATTCCAAGAAATCTGAAGAAATGTCCCTGAGTGACGCTGCTGCTCATAGCAATACAGCAGAGATGCCAACAGGGGAGCAGGAGGGAGCCAAGGGAGTGGAGGAGATGCCAGAAGAGGAAGCAGAAGAAGAGGTGTTCCTCAAATTTGTGATACTGCATGCTGAAGAAGACACAGACGAAGCCCTCCGAGTCCAGAATCTGCTGGAAAATGACTTCGGCATCAAACCTGGAATAATCTTTGCTGAGATGCCAGGTGGCAGGCAGCATTTACAGAATTTGGATGATGCTGTCAATGGGTCTGCCTGGACGATCTTATTATTGACCAAAAACTTTTTAAGAGATACCTGGTGTAAGTTCCAGTTCTATACGTCCCTCATGAACTCTGTTAACAGGCAGCACAAGTACAACTCCGTCATCCCCATGCGGCCTCTGAACAACCCCCTGCCCCGAGAAAGGACTCCCTTTGCTCTGCGAACCATCAACGCCCTGGAGGAAGAAAGTCGTGGCTTTCCTACACAAGTGGAAAGGATTTTTAAGGATTCTGTATATAGGATACAGCAGGCTATATGGAAAGAGACCAGAAATACGGTACAAAGGCAATTTATTGCTTGAGACGGAACACACAACACACAGCAGGCTCTTGTTTTGTAAAACAAATGATTTATCTCCACTTGAGAAAGCAAATTTCTAGGAAGAGTTTAGATGAAAGAGAACCTTACTCTTACAGAAACTTATGGAGCCCAAGAAAGATAAATTTCTGCAGGACAGTCTATAGAATTGTGGTACTTTTCAATGTTTCCATAAACTTGAAATTGTCAGAGTTTCAACTGTTTCCAAAAAAAAAAAAAAAAAGAACTCAGTTTTCCTAGTTCATGATTACAACAAAGGATATTTTAAATTCATATTCCTCGTATTGAACTTGATCAAAACCTTATATGATAGACATTTAAAAAATACAATAACACTGATTTTGTTCTCAAAGGAACCGCAGAAAAAAATGGCCTCGAGAGATCCGAGCGCCCTCACTTTCGAGGCACCTCTCATGAATGTTGCAATAAAGTGTTCCCGGTGTTGTCACCCAGAAATAGGGATAGCCAGACTAGAACATTTAGAATGTTGAGTGCTGATAAATATGAAACCCAAAATAGATGTGAGAATGGTAGGGCTCTTTAAAAGAATCCAATCAGGGGCTGCCCTGGTGGCGCAGTGGTTGAGAGTCCGCCTGCCAGTGCAGGGGATGCAGGTTCGTGCCCTGGTCCGGGAGGATCCCACCTGCCGTGGAGCTGCTGGGCCCGTGAGCCATGGCCGCTGAGCCTGCGCATCCGGAGCCTGTGCTCCGCAATGTGAGAGGCCACAACAGTGAGAGGCCCGCGTACGGGGGGGGGGGGAAGAATCCAATCAAATGTGTTTCCGTTCTGTTTGAATTTGCATATTTGGAGGCAGTTCCCACCATTTGATGGTATTGTGGTCAGGGACTTCGTGCCTGGTGTTGACATGACCCCTGGAGCTGGAAGCTCTCCATTGTTGGTCATTGTGTGTGACCAGGAGCTTCTGAAAGGTGTATGTATCCTTGGCCAGATGTTCTCCTTTAAAATCAATAACCTCTCCTATGGCAGCTGTTAAAAATTCCTCTCTCACACAATGCCCCATCAAGGAAATATTTCTCAGCTAGGTGATCACAGAGCCTGACTCTGTGTGTGTGTGTGTGTGTGTGTGTGTGTGTGTTGTAGATCACTTTCAGACTTGGGATAGAAGTGGGCGATGCGTTTTCTGGCGTCCTCTTCTAGTGCCCCACACTCATAGCAAACCAGAGGCCCCAAGAGGACCGGGTCCTGTCTTTCACAGCCCTTCTGCCCCAGCTGAGATTGAGGGAGAACCACCAGGTACAGACCAGGGACAAGGCGGAGTGTGAATCAGGTCATGTTGTAATGAGAAAAGCACCAGATGGGAATCAGGAGACCTGGTTGTTCTAGTCCAGTCTCTTTCACTGAGGATGAATGGGACCGCCGGCAAGCTATTTACCCTGCTTTATCTGTGAAAAGAAAGGATTGGATTGATGAATCTCTAAAGGCCTTTGTCCTCTCCCAGAATGTGAATAACTAGGAACCAGAAAAGGGAACAAGCAAAAAAAAGGTAGAATTTTATAACGTGATTTTATAATAGTTGCAGGAGGCTTCATATATATGCTCACGATGAAAGGATATTGTATATGTTTACAGTGTAATTGATTTCTAATGCTTCCCATTACATTTTTATAGTCACAGAAAAATATTACAATACGTGCTTACTCAGATTTTTTTTTTTTTTTTTTTTTTTTGTGGTACGCGGGCCTCTCACTGTTGTGGCCTCTCCCGATGTGGAGCACAGGCTCCAGACACGCAGGCTCAGCGGCCATGGCTCACGGGCCCAGCCGTTCCGCGGCATGTGGGATCTTCCCTGACCGGGACACGAACCCGCGTCCCCTGCATCGGCAGGCGGACTCTCAACCTCTGCGCCACCAGGGAAGCCCCTCAGATTTTTTTTTAATTTTTAAATTTTTTTCTAGGGACCCTTGAGCAAAAACATTCTGCCCTATTTTTCTTTCTCTTTATTCCCACTTCTCCATATCCCCTACTAACACTAGGGTCTGCTCACAGCTTTCTACAGTCTGCCTCTTCATAGTCATGAATCAACACGTTTCATAATCCTGCAAATAAGTCAAACCTCCCCCACTACCTAGTACGTATCAAAGATGAGATTCTTCTCTTTGTGTGGTGACTCAAAGTTCCCTTCTATCATATTAGCATACTACTCACTTTTTCTTTCAGTTCTAATGATAAGCATTCTTTTTTTTTTTTTTTGCCACACTGCTTCCTGTATCTCCAATTTCATATACAAATAAAACATTAACCACCCACCCTGCCTGCCTGTCAAAGTTGGCACATTTAATGCTGGATGGTATTTTTTAAATAAGTGTTTTTGTTTTTTACCTTTGACTAAGCTTGATTATTTCCAAGTCCAGTGAAGACTGTGGAAAAGTGTTTTGAAAAGAGGCATCAATCTGTACTCTACAGAGCACCAGGCACAATGTCTCACTCGATTTGAAGTTACATATATATATTTTTATGATGAATAAAAATGTTAAGTACTGAATAACTGTCTATGCTGAAATTAACCGTTGTAATAAGGGATTATCAAAATAGCTAAACTGAGGATGAGAAGAGGTAAAGGTGTGACGCTAGTCGTGTGAGTGTGTGTATACGCGTGTACACGTGTATAGATTCAGACTTAGAGGGAAATTCTGTAAAATTTTGCCACATGCTGGAGAGCATCCATTTTGGTTGTCTGTGGGTCTCATTGCCCACCCTGGAGCTTCACAGAAGAACCTGCGTTATGGGCTTCCCTGGTGGCGCAGTGGTTGAGAGTCCGCCTGCCGATGCAGGGGACACGGGTTCGTGCCCTGATCCGGGAGGATCCCACATGCCGCGGAGCGGCTGGGCCCGTGAGCCATGGCCGCTGAGCCTGCGCGTCCTGAGCCTGTGCTCCGCAACGAGAGAGGCCATAACAGTGAGAGGCCCGCGTACCGCAAAAAAAAAAAAAAAAAAAAGAACCTGAGTAGTGCCTTGTGTGTCAGGATTCTTTCAGCTGTAAGAAACAGAAAAGCTGATGCCATGTGACTTTTACACTATAAGGTAAACTTACTATCTCACCTAACATTAGGCCCCTAAGGTATGGTGCCTCAAAGGTGTCATTAAAAACCCAGTTCTTATATACAGTGGAATATTGTGCCACCTTAAAAAGAAATAAAATTCTCATACATGCTATAACGTGGATGAACCTTGAAAACACAATGCTAAGTGAAAAAAGACAGACACAAAATGATACATACTGTATGGTTCCATTTATATGAGGTACCTAGAGTAGGCAAATTCGTAGAGAAAAAAAAAAGAGAGGTGACCAGGGGCAGGGGAGAGGGAAGAATAGGGAGTCATGTCTCATGGGTACAAAGTTTGTGTTTGGGATGATGAAGAAGTTCTGGAAGAGGGTAGTGGTGGTGTTTGTATGACATTGTGAATGTATTTAATGCCCCTGAATTGTATGGTTAAAATGTAAATTTTATGTATATTTTACCACAGTAATTTTTTAAAAACCCATATGGTCTTTCCATCTTTTTGTTCTGCCATCCTCAGTTTCCCAGCTGGGCTTTCCTTAGACTTGTACTATGGCTGCACCAGTGTTAGGCACAGATATTGAAGCATCCAGCCTAATAAGACAGTGGGAGTGGTTCACCCAAGTGAGGAAAAATATTTCTTCACTGCATTGTTGGAAACTGCTTATGGTGATAATAAAAAGCCATCTGACTTCTATTTGGTTTTATTATTATTTTTAAATTCTCTCCACCTGCATCCAGGCGGACTTCTCCCATCACCTCCCCCTCCCTCACACTGTTGAGTCAGATGCCCTGGTGTTTTTTTCTTTGATGTTCACCGTGTATCTTTATTTCAGTTCTATGGTATTTGAGTATTTTACATTTTCATCTTTACAGATATCTTTTTAAAATGTTTTAAATTTTATATTGAAGTATAGTTGATTTACAATGTGTTAGTTTCAGGTGTACAGCAAAGTGATTGTTATATATATACATATATCCATTATTTTTCAGATTCTTTTCCTATATTGGTTACTACAGAATATTGAGTAGAGTTCCCTGTGCTACCGTAGGTCCTTGTTGGTTATTTTATATATAGTAGTGTGTATATGTTAATCCCAACCTCCTAATTTGTCCCTCCCCCCATTCCCCTTTCCTGTTTGAAAACAAACCATAAGTTTGTTTTCTATGTCTATGATTTTTTTTCTGTTTTGAAATAAGTTCACTTGTATCTTTTTTGGTTTTTTTTAGATGCCACATATAAGCGATATTATATGATGTGTATCTTTCTCTGTCTGGCTTACTTCCCTTAGTATGATAATATCTAGGCCCATGCATGTTGCTGCAAATGGCATTATTTCATTCTTTTTTTATCGCTGAGTAGTATTTCATTGTATGTATGTACCACATCCTCTTTATCCATTCATCTGTCTATGAGCATTTAGGTTGCTTCCATGTCTTGGCTATTGTAAATAGTCCTGCAGTGAACATTGGGGTTTGAATCCCACCTGCATCGTCTATAAATTGTGATGTTATACAAGACACATAATCTTCCTGGGTCTCAGTGTTCTCATCCAAAAATGAAGATAATAATGCCTCCCTGGTAGGGTTATTTTGAGGATTAGATGAAATAAAACCTGCGAGGTACTCAAATAGTGCCTCACACATAACTACCATACCAGTTCTATCCTACTAGAACTATTGTTGTGGCCTACACACATTGACTCTGCAACATGGGATGGGGCAGAGGGAAAATATAATTACTTGCAACCTTGTTCTTGGAACCATTGTAGCTCGTAAGGAATAGATTTTTAAACAAAGAGGAAGTGAGATGCTGGGCCTCGTTTCCGTGTGCAGGACAGTTCCCTCCAGGCACTGAACATTGAGAGGAGCACCCTGATCCGCAGGAGATGTGTGAGCTATAGCTGTTGGCATGGAGGAAGCTGGGGTCAGGGAAAACGCGGCAGCGGGGCCCCATGACTGTAACAAGTTAGGGAAGTTGGGCCATAGACTAGAAAAGCAGGAAAGTAGACCAGCTCTGAAGCCTGTTCAGGGGAATGGCCCGCCCAGGTGCGGATGACTTCAGCTGTGTTTGTTTGCTCTTCATGCTCAGAAGAGGTAGGTACATTTTGCATATATTTGCATTTGAGCAGGGTAACCCGTTTAACTCAGCCCTCTCCTGGGGCTCAGGAACTGGCAGATAATTTTGTTTTGGCTGGGGATACAGGCTGGATGAAGCCTGGTTAGGCTGTTTCCCCTTGGGGTGGGTGGAGGGGTAGTGAGACAGGCACTCATCTGCTTTGCTTCTTCCTGTCCTGACTAACTGGATTTCTGCCCTGCGTTCCAGGTTGCTTGCTGGCCTTAATCCCTTCCAGTGCAAGTCAGGGCTGTTTTCCACTTCAGTCCCATGTCGTTCACTTTTGCGGGTCCTAAAGCCTTAGTCGGGCCTTGGAGTGGACTGAAAACCTGTCAGAGCCTCAGGCCTCCTCATGTAAGGAGCAAGGGAAGTAGTTACAGAAACAACTTCCTTGGGTCCTCCCATCCCATGCAGCTCATTCCTAAATCACAGGCCTGCGTAGCTGGTGAGGTGAGATCTAACACGTCTGCCCTGGGTGTCAGCCCCGTGTCTGTGCCTCTCCCCCACATCACACTCTAACATTGCCCAGTCTGTGTCACCTGATGGGCTATCACGGAACATGACTGTGTACTCTGTACTTGTGGGAAGGGCTGAAGGGTAAGGAGGAGAGTTCAGAAAGCTGCCAGGCACCTGATGAAATGAAACCATAGTATCTGAAAATTGACGTCCTTAAAGCAATGACGGAAAGGAATGAATGAATACAGGAGACCAGTGTTTTTGTCCATGAAACCGATGTTTCTCAGGAGATTCCAAGTAGAAAGAAATGTGTTAGGTTTTGAACACTTAGTGGCTGGGTGGGAACAATATTCTTACCTAAATTTGTATTCCAAGTCATACTTGGCAACCTGCGTTGACAATTAACACATTAAGTATGAGATGGAGTAAATAATACTTGAAAGTGCCGTTAATTAATAACTCAGAGTACAAAAATGATTTGATGAAAAGCACAGCAAGTTAACCTGTGGAGGAAAATAAAAGACGGTGGTGGCTCCCCCTCCCCTTTTCCAGTACCCTGGCTTCCACAACTGTTTACTCCATCCTCTACCCTGGTTCACACCTCCCTCCCTTTCTGGCAGGAGCCAGAAAAGTTCTGGGGGAAAAGAGCTGCTTTATTTGGTATAGCATGCCTCCCTTCTCTCCAAATAGAGTCAGTTCTGAGTCATTTTACTCTGAGGTGAATAAATAGGAATGTCTTTGTTAGCAAATAACAAGAACTTGCGTTTAATCGTAATCTAATTGGGAATGTGCCTTCCAGCTACCGCCTCAAACAACAGGGTTCAAACAAGGCAATCTCTACAAACTAGCTTCTCCCAGGGGATTTCCGTGGTTACATTGGATAGGACATGTAACCCGCTTTACAGATTGCTTAAGTATATTTTATAAATAAAAACACTAACACATGAATCTAAAATTGTGTTGGGCTGATGGTTGCACAATTTCACAGACATGCTATAAACTGTTGAACTGTACACCTTAAATGGGTAAATTTTATGGTCTATAAAATATTGCTCAGTAAAGAATGAACAAACAAAACCCCACAAGGT